GTTACATTAGCTTTACATTACTTGGCTTACACGCTCCCCCCGTGCCATAGTTTTCCACGGAAAGTTCAGCTCCATTAATTTTTGGCTGAAACCGAGTGCTATTTTTAGGTATTTTAAAAACACCCAAGGAAGAGCCTTGAGTTTTTATGGGGCAGAAGTTGAATTCTTCTGGTTGTTTTTTTTAATTTAGAGGAGTTGTTTTTTTTTGTTGTTTTTTTTTTAAACAATATGGAGAAAGCCAACAATAATTCATTTGCTAATCTTGGCTGTGTTCAACAGTTGCCTACAGCAGTAAGGGAGCCAAATCTGGAGGGCCCAAATCCATCAGATGCATTTACTGCAAAGTCAAAAGGTGATTTTGGCGGAGTTTTCTTAAAAACCGTTGCCCTTTGACCCCAGAAGCAGTCTGCTTCTGTTCTTCCTACTTACTTGAGGGGATGGCGTAGGCTGGTAGGGAGGTTTGGGGGGCTCCCCAGCCCTTCATGTTATAGGCAGACACCTGGACATAATAAGCTGTACCCTGTGAAGAAACAGCAAAGAATAAAGATACCGAAGCCCAGGTTCTGAGGTTTTGCTTGATTAAAAAAAAAATACAGGAAACCAGAAGTTGCCTTTAAGCTTTTACGTTTTTATTCAGCTGAACAAAGACGGGCTCCTCTAAAAGAGAGAAGCCCCGAATGACCAGCCAGCCGTGTGCTGCAGCTGCCAAAAAAGCCAACACAGTTCTAGGCTGCATTAACAGAGGGATAGAATCAGGATCACGTGAAGTGTTAATACCACTTTACAATGCCTTGGTAAGGCCACACTTGGAATACTGCACCCAGTTTTGGTCACCACGATGTAAAAAAGATGTTGAGACTCTGGAAAGAGTACAGAGAAGAGCAACAAAGATGATCAGGGGACTGGAGGCTAAAACATGTAAGGAACGGTTGCTGGAACTGGGTATGTCTAGTTTAATGAAGAGAAGGACAAGGGGGGACATGATAGCAGTGTTCCAATATCTCAGGGGCTGCCCCAAAGAAGAGGGAGTCAAGCTATTCTCCAAAGCACCAGAAGGCAGGACAGGAAACAAATAGATGGAAACTAACCAAAGAGAGAAGCAACTTAGAACTAAGGAGAAACTTCCCGACAGTTAGAACAATTAACCAGTGGAACAACCTGCCTCCAGAAGTGGTTGCTCAGCATCTGTGGCCATAGGGATGCTGTGGGGGTTGTAAGTGTAAAAAACGGTCATAAGTAACCTTTTTCAGTGCTGTTGTAACTAATAAACTGTTGTAAGTTAAGGACTACCTGAATGCAGGACGGTTCCCCAGATACAGAAGAAACTGCACATTTACTGCAGTGTGGGAAATGTCTAGGATCATTTACACCTCTGTAATAAGCTGCAAACTCAACGCACTCACCTGACATGGCAAGATAACGCAACCTGTTATTTTAAAGTCTCAAATCAAATATAGAATTTAACCAAGAGGGTAAGTCTTCCCCTGGCAGCTTTGCAAATTACATATATGAGGTCCTTGAAGCCACCGCAATTTTGTCACGGATCTTAAAATGGGCACCTTCAGTGCCAGCAACTGCAGCTTCCAACGCAGGGGGCGAAAATATACCCCATCGTTCCAGTGGGTGCATTGGTTGTTACCCAAAGGAGACTGACAGCGTTTGGGAAATCTTTGCCTGCCTGCTGTGGGGTGGGCAGAAGGTCACGGTGGAAAGGCCTTACGTCTTTGGAGTGAGAAAAGATTGGGGTCAGTTGGGGTCAAGCCCTGAAATAGCTTCCAGGTTCCACACCCCGCAAGGGATGCACTCACCGAGACAAGGCCGTGGATGGTGATCTGGAGTTTTTTCAGCTTGTCAATCACCATTTCGCCCAGCGGTGGGGAAAAAGAAGGAGAGCAGCTCCACTCGACTGCAATGACAAGAAGAGACCCCCCCCCCGGTCAGTAATTAGAGAGACAGTTGGTCTAGTGCAGGGGTAGGCAACTGTGGCTCTTTTATGATTCATGGACTTCAACTCCCAGAATTCCTGAGCCAGCATGGCTCAGCTTGGAAACCTCTCCCTTTCCCCTCAGCATGGCTGGCTCAGGAATTCTGGGAGTTGAAGTCCACGAGTCATAAAAGAGCCAAGGTTGCCTATCCCTGGTCTAGTGGTTAAGGCATCAGGCTAGAAACTGGGAGATGGGGAGTTCTAGTCCTATCTTAGATATGAAAGCTGGCTAGGTGACCTTGGGCTAATCACCAGGAGACGGTGAGTTCAAGTCCCACCTTAGGCATGAAAGCCGGTTGGGTGACTTTGGTTGAATCACCAGGAGACAGTGAGTTCTAGACCCACCTTAAGCATGAAAGCCAGTTGGGTGACTTTGGGTGAATCACCAGGAGACGGTGAGTTCTAGGCATGAAAGACAGTTGGGTGACTTTGGGTGAATCACCAGGAGACGGTGAGTTCTAGGCATGAAAGCCAGTTGGGGAACTTTGGGTGAATCACCAGGAGATGGTGAGTTCTAGGCATGAAAGCCAGTTGGGTGACTTTGGGTGAATCACCAGGAGACGGTGAGTTCTAGGCATGAAAGCCAGTTGGGTGACTTTGGGTGAATCACCAGGAGACGGTGAGTTCTAGGCATGAAAGCCAGTTGGGTGACTTTGGGTGAATCACCAGGAGACGGTGAGTTCTAGGCATGAAAGACAGTTAAGTGACTTTGGGTGAATCACCAGGAGACGGTGAGTTCTAGGCATGAAAGACAGTTGGGTGACTTTGGGTGAATCACCAGGAGACGGT